ATTAAACCACTGAGCCACCATGCCTGTAATAAGGAATTGAGAACCAGGAATAGGTAACCAATTTTAGTTCCATGCTTTACGAGCCACCATTAAGAACTATCAGAATAAATAAATAATTAGTAATAACTATTCTACATCCAGAACAGGGATCTGAAACAAATAATCTGGAGTGGAAAAAAGAATGGAGAAATTATCATAGTTAGATGCAATATGTTGATGTAATTTAATTAATCCAATTTATAGTGTCACGTGTTTTAATTAATGTAATTTATATGTATTTTGAAAAATAGACTATATGAATATGAATATATGCAGTGCTTTTTTTATAAAAAAAAAAAAGAAAAGAAAAAAGGTGCCGGAACTCACACACGTCATACCACCCGCCTTGCCTACCCTACAAGGTTCCATCCAAAAAAGGTGCCGTAACTCCGTTCTGGGCATTCTATGACAAAAAAAGCCCTGAATATATGTATCAAATATATATCTTGCAGCAACAGGATCAAAAATATTACATCTCACAAAGAGCTTTGGGCTAGCACAAAACATATATCCAAGCAATATTTCCACATTGTGATGGGGATGACTCATCAGGCACAATCCTATCCATCCATAGTGGAACTCTAAGCACATTTTTGAATGGAACAAGCGAAAATTAATAGGTAGATGGACCAGTGCATCCCGAAATTGCTTTGAGCTACTAAAAATTATGCATCCACAAATCCAAGAGACTGTCCTAGGAATCTACGTCTAAGAATCCTAGTTTCATGAAAAGACAATACCTTATTCAATTCAAAGCTTTTGTAATTCATAGCTATTAAGACATAAAATATACATACAGTATCTTGCACAGTGCTTTTTTTGTAAAAAAAAAAAAAAAAAAAAAAGGGTGCCGGAACTCACACACATCATACCACCCGCCTTGCCTGCCCTACAAGGTTCCATCCCAAAAAGGTGCCGGAACTCCATTCTGGGCGTTCTATGACAAAAAAAGCCCTGATCTTGCACCAAAAATATAGAAATGAGTAAGCTTGTGACTTCTGCACCACAAAATATCTTCCGGATCATTCCAAATCATATATCAACGTGATAATCTGGTGAGGATGCATCATTGTTCTGTTTACTATAAACATACCTGTTTTTGAATGAGTTCTTGCCCCCTTTCTGGATGCATGTGTACTAGATTCAGTTGTGGAGATACGGATCTACGAAATGGGTAAATGTCACGGACGTAGGTCTGTGGGATAATTTAAAAAAGCCTGTATTTTATAAATGAATTGTACTTCTAGCACATTAGCAATTGCATTTTTGGAAATCGTAATACTTTTCAGTCATAATGGTGTAGTGGAGGAGAAAAATCTCTCATTTCTGGGCTTCCTTTTTACATAAGTTGATAACTGGTTAAGAAACAGGAAAGAGAATAAGAATAAATGGGCAACTTTGATACTGGTGATATATGCATAGTGTGAACTCCCAGGGATCAATATTGAGACTGATGGGACTAAGTTGGCAATAATAACCAATATCCCAGAATATAGGCTCAAAATCCATATGGATCTTGACAGACTTGAAAACTGGGCCTTATCTAACAAAATGAAATTCAGTGTAGAGGAAAGCAAGATTTTACATTTAGGCAAGAAAAAGAAGAAGCAGGGTCAACAAGCTGTACAAGATTAGGTGAAACCTGGCTCAATAGCAGTAACTGTGAGAGGGATCAATCACAATCACTTAAATATGAGCCAGCAATATGCAGCAGCCACCAAAAAAGTCAATGCAAGCCTAGGCTGCATTAATACAGGGATAGAATCAACATCTCGTGAAATATTAGTACTGCTTTATAAAGACCACACTTGGAATACTGCGTCCAGTATTGGTCACCACTATATAAAAAAGATGTTGAGATTCTGGAAAGAGTGCAGAGATGAGCAACAAAAATGATTAGGGGCCTGGAATCTAAAACATATGAAGAATGGTTGCAAGAATTGGGTATATTTAGTGTAGTGAAAAGAAGGAGTAGGAGAGACATGATAGAAGTGTTTCAATATTTGAGGGATTACCACAAAGAAAAGCGGGTCAGCCTATTTTTCAAAGCATCAAAAGGCAAGACAAGAAACAATGGATGGAAACTAAAAATGGAGAGAAGCAACCTAAAACTAAGGAGAAATTTCCTAATCGTGAGAACAATTAACTAATGGAATGGCTTGCCTTCAGAAGTTGTGGGTGCTCCATCACCGGGATCTTTTAAGAATAGACTGGATGGCCATTTGCCTGAAATAGTATAGGGTTTCCTGCTCAAGCAAGGGGTTGGACTGGAAGACCTCCAAGGTCTTCTATGGTTTAATCTATGGGGGTCTTTTTCCCCTTATATAGAAATGGTATAAAAAGTTAGAGCTGAGCAGTTGATAATACTGAACCTCTCCAGACTGAGGCAATGAGCTTCAAAATGACAGACAATTCAGTGTAAAATAATGCACATTAGCCCAAAATATCCAAGCTTCATTGAAATATGAATGGGATCTGAATTGCTAGTGATTGATAAGGAAAGGGATATTTAAAAAAGACAGTTTCATGCTTGGAACCATTAGGAAAGCAATTGAAAATAGAACTGCAAATATAATAATGCCCTTATATAAACCTGTGATGAGATCATATTCAAACTATTGTGTAGGGTTTGGGTCATCATATCTTAAAGATACTATAAAGCTGTAAAAGATGCAATCAAAATAATCAGGGATCTGGAACAACTTTCATACCAGAAAGAATGTAGCAATTTGAGCTTTTTAAAGCTTGGAATAAAAGAGGGTAAGTAGAAACATAATAGGAATATATAAAATCTGCTCTGTCCATCCAACCCAGATGACCAGAGAATTAAGAGTTGACCTAGAATTTCATAGCTGCCATGACAGCCATACGCTTACTCTCAGATCATCACGGGCTCTACAGCATGGATCCAGCATTTATTTTCAAGCAATTAGCATTTGATGTGGTAGAGCGAGGAATTCCTAGCAGTCCTTTGTCACTGAGGGATCAGTTTCTAGTTACCAATTCTGCACAGAAGAAGGGGCTATTAAAATTGTCCCAGAAGCCTTCTGGGTCCATCAGGGTCACTGCTATGAGATGGGAGGTTATATTAATTGTTTACCTATAAACACATATACGGTTTGGGCTTGGATACTTTCAAAATCCCATACAGAATATGCTCATCCAATACAAACCAAAAGAGATGACATGTTGCAAGTCTGTACACATTTCTGGAGTTAGAAATGAGCATTTCTGTGGTAATCCTTCTCTACCCCCACTCTTGAAATTGGAAGAGCTCACTCCCTTACAATATTTGGAAGGACAATTGAAACACTGATATTCCACAAGTACTTGGGAAATAAGTGTTATTTCCAAGATATAAGTAGGCTACCCATAAGTTTTTATCAAAGAGTTTATGTTACATTGTTACCTTTTCTAATATTAATAACTAATTTGCTAGTTTGGTCATCATTGTTTCTTATTCTACTGTGGTTGCATTATTGTTGTATTTGTAAGCCATTTAGAGTCTATGCTTGAAACAACACACACATTTTGAAAATACATCAAAATAAATTAAATAAGTATATTTTCAGAGTGTTTTATGCATTGTCAGACATAACCACAAGTGAGTCCAATGGAGCTTACTTCCAGTAAACAGAACAGAACTGAATAACAGATTTGGGAGGGACCTTGGAGGTCTTCTAGTCCAACCCCCCGCTCAGACAGAAATCGCTATACCATTTCAGACAAATGATTGTCCAATCTCTTCTTAAAAATTTCCAGTGTTGGTACACACACTTAAGGGCCTATACATATTATTATTAGATTGTATTAAACTTTCATATTAGTGTATCCAAAAAGTCACTCGCTGATGAGATTTTCAATTACAGTTAAGAAGTAACATTATAATATAAAATTATCTCACCTTATTATAATGAATAAGATTCCACCGCTTATCCATTAAAAAATAGTTGGAAGACTGGGATTCAGGTATGTTAAAAAATTCCAGACACTCCTAGCACATAAAGACATAAGCATAAGGTAATATTGGTTGATCACATGTTCTTCAATTTAGAAAGTTATTGATTTTAAAAGTATTCTCCTCAGATAATTGTGGCTATATCTCTATTCCCTGCCTATAAAGATGGAATCTTAATAAAAAAAATAAGCTGTCAAGCCTTGCACTGCTACTAAAATAGCTCTTAGTTACTGATACCACTTATGATTGTAACAGAGTTTTTAAAAGCCACTGTCATCTTGAATTAATTTCCAAAATCACAACTGAAAGTGATATGCTTACTTCATATAATAGGCCTATGGAAATGAGCTGAATATGCAGATATTGTATATCTGAGGTAATTTGTAAGATGAATATTATAGGAGAAATACATGTATGATGACCTTTTCACATAATGAGATGTAAAGAAGCTGCTAAATCAGGCTTTCAACAAATAATTTTCTCCTTGTAAAGATCTGTATATTATTCCAAATCAATCTTTATACCACAACCTAATGAGGTTAATGAAGGAGCTTTAATACAGGAAGACTGGAAAATACAGCCAAAACTTTTTTTCCAAAATTATTTTAATAATTTGCAAACCTTTAAAAGAGCTTCAAACTGGGTGTCTTCATGGACTGGTAGCTGGGTTGGGATATCACATTCATTCTGCCCATGAACTACTAAGGTCTTGGTACCTTTAAAAGCAATAATATAATAAAATTTTTGTTTACAAAAAATATACTTTTGGAATCCTGGATAAATAAAAATAAATTACTGTATGTCTTAGTCTCTGAGTTGTTCAGAACATTTTAGATGATTCTTATTCTGTTATCATTTTTGCTTCTGTACAATACAGTGCAGCTGAAAAAGAAAGAGTGACTGTTTTGTACAGGGATATTCAGAGAAGCCTCATGCCTCACTGAGAATTTCTCCTTCTCTCTTACCATGTCCAGTATTATAATATTATGCAATCCTGGCTTTCATGCATGTGCAGAGCTTTTTTTCAAGCATGTGGATATAGCTAGAAAGAGAAGGTAATCCAATTCAGGCTGTAATTGCTAAATTTATAACACTATTGTTAACAATATGGAAGGGATTTTAAAAATAACCATGGGGACTTAATGCAGAATATGATTTTCAAGAACATCGGTTGTTTGTTTGGCTTGCTCCTTCAAAAGACTTTGTATCAGTTTTCTTTTGTCTATTCTATGGAATCTATACAAAATATGTATTGCAACTCATGGAGCTTTTTATGTGAAACCCATGCAGCACTTATAGTCTGTCTAATTCCAAAATTATATCCATTAACACAAACCATTTTCCTAAACCAGGGCTTTTCAACCTTTTCACCCATTGTACCACTTTTAGGATATGGCAACATCTGACATTTTGACACCTCGCCTAGCAAGGTGTCAAAAACGTGATGACCAAAAAAAGGAAAAAAGTGATAAAGTACAGGTAGTCCTCGACTTACAACAGTTCGCTTAGTGACTGTTCGAAGTTACAATGGCACTGAAAAAAGTGGCCCCCAAGCCACAGCCGAGCAAGACACCTGCCTGCCCGCCTGGCGGTGCTCCTCCTCCTGTCCAAGGTTTTCATTGTTGTGAGCATTTCTGTTGAGGATTGGCAGTGGGGGTGGGGTGGGGGGTGTTTGGTTTTTATTCCCCCCCCATCTGCTGGGTGGTTGCAGCAGGTTTTGGTCACTTCACATGACCCTGGAACACTGTGATCATCATAAATATGAATCAGTTGCCAAGCATCTGAATGTAAATCACAAGACCCTGGAGATGCTGCAACATTCCAGCTGATCGGCACTTCTTTTTTTTTTTTTTTTTTTTTTTTTT